AATCATCTTGACGTTCATTGACCAACTTTGAAAGAATATCTTTCAGAGTCCGGTTCATTCGTTCAACAAGGCCATCACTTTGAGGGTGGTATGGTGTTGTTCGGGTTTTCTTTATCCCAAGAATATCGATTATCTCTTTGAAGACCGCGCTTTCGAAATTTCTCCCCTGGTCCGTATGCAGTCGCTGCATGACTCCATATCTACAAATCCACTCATCCACCAATTTTTGTGCAATGCTACGTGCTTCTTGATTTGGAATCGCGTACGCCTCCGGCCATTTCGTGAAATAGTCCACGACCACCAATATATATCGATTACCATCAGGGGGTTTAGGTAGTGGTCCAATGATGTCCATAGCAACACGTTCCATTGGGTATCCCGGTTGATCCAATACCATCATTCCGCGTCGTTTTCTCGACGGTCCATTTCGTTCTGCGCATATCTGACAATTCTTGCAATGCATCTCGACATCTGACTGCCAGTCGCTCCAATAAAATCTTCTCTTTATCACTTCTTTTAACCTCTGAGAACCGAGGTGACCCGCGCTGGGAATATCATGAGTCAGCTCCAAAACTTCTTTTATTAATTTTCGTTGTAAACAAATTTGAAGATGTCGGTCATTACCATTATCGTTCTCGAAAATACGATACAAAAGTCCATCAACAAGCGTCAATTGATCGAATTTGCTCCAAAGTTTGCCCATTAGAGGACCCATACGTGTTATATCCTCCTTCGGTGGTCGCTTACCGTCTTTCATCCATCCGATCGCGCGACAAATCTCTGGATCTTCGTGTTGATGCAAACTCAGTTCCTTCGCTGTCCAGCGCAGACACCACGGGCTCGTTTCGTCATTACCATTCGATGCGTTACATACGTGGCCACTCTGTACCTCACGAGTATCCTGAGGTATACGTGATACACCATCAGCATTACCATGACTACGTCCAGGTCTATGTTCAATTTCAAAGTCAAAAACGGACAATCTTTCAATCCATCGTGCTACTTGTCCTTTAGGTTGCTTAAAATTTCTTATCCACCTCAGTGCATTATGATCAGAACGTGCTTTGAATGGTTTTCCTATTAAATAGGATGCGAAATGTTCCATCGACCATACAAGGGCCAGTAGTTCTTTCCTAGTAGTACTATAGTTCCTTTCCGCTTTTGATAAGGACCTGGCGGCATAGGCAATAACCTTTTCGTCTTCTCCATGGCGTTGCGACAACACAGCTCCAATCCCCGTATCACAGGCATCAGTATCAAGAATAAAAGGAATGTCGAGTCTCGGGTAGTACAGTATTGGGGCCGTTTTGTCTTTAGAATGTTGAATGCTTTCTGACAATCGTCGTTCCACTTGAAAACCGTTCCCTTTCGTTCAAGTCTATAAAGTGGTTCGGCAATTCTGGCGTAATCCCGGATGTATTGCCTGTAGTAACCCGTGCAGCCAAGGAACGAACGCAAGTCCGATAGGTTGTTTGGAGTAGGCCATTTCTCCAGGACTTTCACCTTATCGGGATCAGTCGAGACCCCTTCCTTACTAACGACATGTCCTAAAATAACACTCCGCTGTTGGACAAACTCACATTTTCTTGCGTTCAATTTCAACCCTGCAGTTTCTAATCTTGCAAAATTTCTAATATTTCGTCGCATCTCGGTAGAGGGAAAACATCCTTCTTCGTAATCGCGTTCAGTTTACGGTAGTCGATACAGAAACGCTCTCTCCCGTCTTTTTTTCTCACCAGCACCACCGGGGCCGACCAAGGGGATGTGGAAGGTTCAATCACGTCGCTTGCAAGCATCGATTCCACTTCTTCTCGTACAACCTCATGCTTATGAAACGGAAATCTACGCGGTGTAGCTTTAACTGGGATATGTTGACCAGTGTTAATAAAGTGTTGGACATCTCTCGCCTCTCCCAAGTCCGTTTTATTTTCCGAGACTATTACAGTATGACGTGCTAGTACCTTGTATATATCTCGCTATCTAACAATGAATCGTTTGCTATTGGAAAAAGTTCTTTAACCATGTCCATATTTTCTTTTGTCACTGGACTTGGCGTTGCCACCGAGCAAAGCCCTCCACCTGTCATCAGCTTTTTATCAGTCTCGATGATGTGCGTGTCAATAAAGTAGCAGTTTTCCGTTTCTGTATTCTTATCTTCTAACAATGGCCAAAATTCTCCAACAGTGCTTCCTTTGTAAATTGTTTTTCATTTCGGTCCGAGGTTAAATAATCTCACAGGTATTTATCCATTCTGTATCGTTGCAGCAACCTTCAATATTCAAGTTTTATAGCGCTCTTCAAATCGCACCATGGGCTCAAGAACTCCACTTTTATTGTTCTGAATCGTTCCATTCTCCACTTTACATGCAATAGTTATCATTGAATTTCCTGGCAAAACGACAGACTGGGCAATTGTAACCCGGCATACTTTACGCTCGTTTGAATAAGACAATGTTTCTTCTTCTCTTTTTATTCGTAATGTATTCTTCTCGAAATCTATTACGCACTTATGAGGTTTTAAGAAGTCTACTCCAATTAGCATTGCTTGTGCTAAATCGTTACAAATTAAAACGTCATGAGTTACTGAATTCCCGCATACTGAAATGTCTATCTCGGCAATTACAATTATATTTAAAGGCGTATTGTTCGCACCCACGATTGTTTTTGTCGCGCGTCTCACTTCTGTTCCTTTATTACGTACTCGCGCCAGTAAATCCTCGTGCATGATAGTCACGGCTGCGCCAGTGTCCACCAAAGCTTTAACATAGTACCCGTTAACTCGACAGTTCACAAATATTGTGGCGTCGTCTGTTGCACTAGCTTTGCCTTTATTCCTAAACTCAGCGGTTTCAACACGTTTCGGCGCGGGCGGGGGCTCTATAAAGCGCCCGCCCTGTAGGCGTTTCCCTGATTCTGCGATTGACATTCTCGTGCGAAGTGACCATATTTTCCACAACGGTAGCACTGGCTATTTCCTTTTTGACGTCTTGGGTATGAGGCCGTATTTGGTTTGTTCAAGAAATTTACTCATTTTATCCATCAGTTCCGCTTGTTGATCAAAGTACTTTTTCGCCCATCGTGGTGTTGATTGATCTTCCTCTTTCGCGCCCGCCATGTTGAGGCCTGCGGTATCTCGTTTATCTCTCGCGCCCGCCATGTCGAAGCCAGCGGTATCTCGCTCGTCTCCCGCCATGTTAATTTTCGCGGTGTTGTTGTTTTTCATTTCAGCCAAATGAATACTTTCCAGACGTAACGCTAGTTTTACAGCTTCATCGAGAGATTTTGGGTCACTTTGACTCACTCCGTACGTAGTTCCTTACTGTCGAGGGCACGGATAAATTGTTCAACGAGTTCCTCCTCGACAAGCGACTTATCCTTGACTTTGACTTTATGACTTTATTAAAAACGGTACTATTTCACCAAGATATTTATAAAAATTAAGACGGGTGATCTTCCAATAGGCCGTATATAGCTATACTAATTACACATATACTACAGTATCTAATAATAATAACTAAATTACACACAAATTACACAGTTACAGTTAGACTATTTTTAAATGTAGAGATACTTGTTTTAGCTTTTATGTCAGCAGACAGATTATTCCAAGTCTCAGCTCCTCGATAGGCGAAAGACTTTTTCATAAAATTAGTTTTAGGTTTAGGTAATGCAAAATTGAATTCGCTCTGTCTTGTATTGTAATTATGTATTTCATTTGAGGTGATGAAAAGTTCCGTTAAGCAATTTGGTAACATGTTATGTTTGGCTTTGAACATTAGGACGGCTAAATGATGTTTTCTTCTAGTCACGAGATTTGGAAAACCGACCTTGTTCAAAACATCGATTGTACGTGTATCATAGTTTTCACGAGTTATTATTCGAAATGCTCTATTTTGAAGCTTCTGGAGTTTATCAGATAGTACTTTACCCAGACAACCCCAAATCTGTGAGCAATAGTCGAAATGTGGTTGAATTATTGATAAATAAATTTTGATCAGTGTTTGGTAATCTAGAATGTCTCTCAATCTTTTAAGGATACTGAGACCTGAATTAACCTTTTTTGTAATTTGATCAACTTGAGCATTCCATGAGAGTGTTTCGTCAATCATTAAGCCGAGTGATTTGATCGTTTTGACTCTATTAATTTCTCTGTCTTTTATGAATATATTAGGCGTTATGTTAATATGATTGACTCTTCTCTTACTACCTATTATCATGTATTCTGTCTTCGTTTTGTTTAAAGTTAGTTTATTTGCCGACAACCAAACTGAAACGTTTTCTAGATCTTGATTAAGTTCCTCAGCAATTGTATTAACATCATAACCCGCCGTTTCAATTTGGGTATCGTCGGCAAACATATTGACTTTAGTGTGTTCCAGACAATTAGGTAGGTCATTTATGTAAATTAGGAACAAGAGTGGACCAAGAGCCGAACCTTGTGGTATACCCGTTGTCACACATAGAGGGTCAGATAAATGGGCATTCACTTGGCAATATTGTATTCGACCTGTTAAATAGGAGTTGAGCCAGCGTAATGCCGACCCCCTTATGCCATAAATTGCCAACTTACTAAGAAGGATGTCGTGATTAACAGTATCGAATGCTTTTTTTAAATCAAGAAATATCACACCATTAAGTTGGCCAATGTCCATATTCTGATACCATCTATTTGTGATATCGAGCAACGCAGTTAGAGTTGAATGGTTCGGCCTAAAGCCGTGTTGGGAATTTGCTAGTAGATTTTCCTTAATCAAATATTCATAGATCTGGTTGTGTATTAGCTTTTCCATGATTCTTGCAACAATTGAAATAACGGATATAGGTCTATAATTGGACATGCAGAATTTTTCCCCAGATTTATAAATTGGTGTAACCCTCGCAACTTTCCAGTCAGATGGAAATATGCCAGTGCGGATTGATTGATTAAAAATTAAAGTAAGTGATGGAGCAATAGATGGTGCTGCAATTTTTAAAACTTTAGCCGAAATTTGATCCAGACCGGATGCCTTGGATATAGTTAAGTTAGAAAGCAATCTCAATATTACAGTCTCTGATACCTCTTTAAAGTGCGATAAAGTGTCAGTTGGACATTGAAAATTGGTAAAATATCTGTCGGGAGTTGACGTTGATAAGGGTATATCATTAGATAAATTATCCCCTAATTCAATGAAATATTTGTTAAACTGATTTGGGATATCCGCTTGATCAATAATTTCGTTATTTTCATTTTTAAGCTGTAGTACTTTATTGGCTTTTTTTGACTTGTTAATCACCTCATTGATTATTTTCCATGTTTTCTTAATATCACCTGAATTATTATGTATCTTTTCTTGATAGTGTTGACGCATTGTACTTTTAATCAATCTATTATAATGATTCTTCAATGATTTATAGGCTGCCCAGTCGCCGTCTAAGTTAGATAAAGTTGCCTTTCGTTTAAGATATGCTTTTTGGCGTTTATAATATTTTAACTCACGGGTTAACCAAGGTACACGTTTCTTAGACACTCTACGTTTTTTTAAGGGTGCATGTTTATTGACAATATGAAGAAATTTATTTTTCCAAGTTAACCAAGAAATGTTGGGATCTAAATGGTCTAAATTTAGGCTTGATAATGATTCCAATTCAAAAAGAAAATTGTTTTCATTAAAGTGCTTGAAATCCCGATATTCTACAACTTCCGGGGCTCCCTTGGTTGTATAAAATTTACGAATACCGTAAATTAAGTAGTGGTCACTAATAGTGATAATTCTTACCCCACTAGAAATTATTAAGTCTGGTTTTGTTGTATAAAAGTGATCAATCAAAGTTGCATTGTCTTTTGTGACTCTTGTAGGTTCATTTATCAATTGCTCGTATTGATAAAGATTAGTGATGAAATTCATCTCAGAGACAAGATGTGAAGGATTGCTACTTAGGATATCCGAATTAACGTCACCTAAAATAATGCTTTCTTTATTTTCATTATCAATCAATTTAAGGCAATTTTCAAATTTATAAAGTGTGTCGATAGGGTCGTTTGGGGGCCTATACCATGTGGTAAGTAGAAATGGCTTGCTTTTGTTTTTGGTAATTTCAATTGTTAAGATTTCAATATTAGGATCGTTAAGGTCAGATCTAAGCTGGAAATTAATTGTATCACGTATGAAAAAGCCAACACCACCACCAGATCTATTTCTGTCTTTGGAAACCCAAGTATAACCGGATAGGGATATCAATTCAATTGGTATAGTACTATCCATTCTAGTTTCGTTAATTGCGAGTACGTCAATATCATTATTATGCATTACTAGTCTCAGTTCATGGTACTGGCGTGCAGCGAGTTGTCGCAGATTAGTTGCTAAATCTACAATGTTCTCCCCGTGTTTTCGTTTCCTCGCATTGAAGGGCAGCTTGTTGATTTTCCTTTGTTGGTCTGGCTGAATTCTAGACTGTAGTGCGTTCACTAGGTCGTCAAAACACGTCTTCTCGTTATCTTGAAGCGTCAAGTAGATTCGCTGAGCTCTACCGCGAAGAGAAACAGCTAGCTGTTGGCAACACTGTGTGTCGTCCCAGTTGTTTATCTGAGCACACAGCTTGAAGTGACTAATCCACTCGTTCCACGGGCCGTCCGAGTAGTTATCTGGCTTTGCTTTCTGATTATTTACTTGAACCACGGGCAGGTTTAAACTCGACGATGGCGTCGCATCGTTTTCTGTCTTCTCCAGTTCCTCAACACGCTTGGTAAGTCTCTCAATTTCTTGAAGTAATTCAGCGCTAGATATTCTTTATATTTTGTTTGCCGCTGCCACCTATGTAATAATTTATTTCTGAAGATATATTAATATTAACAGTCTTACAACTTTCCTGTAGTGTTCCGATTTAAAACTATCGATCAACGCTCGTCCACGCCAGCCTATATTTGCTAACGTCAGTCTCTATAACGTCGGTCTCTATATTCTCTACAGTAGCATAAACACTTCACAACGTATCTGATATAATAGCCGGTGATTTGTATATTAATCCAGTAGTATAATTATTAAAGCGGGAATTTCCCACCAATCACCATTGTAATTATACTTGTGCGCAGACGCCGTTTTGCTATGGTGCGTGATGTGTCTGAATGTGCATGTGTCAGGTTGCATCCAAACCGCGACCATTTTGTACCATTACGCAAATACGATCTGTTTGCAGGTTAGAGCAACTATAAAAAAACGTGCGGCTTCAAAGAGTGGCTCGGTTAATTTGACTACCACACTAAGGTACAAGTAACAAATTAACAATTAGGGAATTAACAAAAGTTCGAACTAACGTCAACCAGTGGTATATAGCGCGCAGCAACACACTTGACAAACAGTGTATCGGTATACAAAGAAACACTGCTAATTAAAAGTTGTTTGGTGAAAAAACGCTTAAACAATTATTAATGAACTTGCAACACTTAGTATAAAGTATAATACTATAGTATACAGTACATAGTATAAAGCCCTATGCATGAAAAGTAAGTTAGATCAAAAACGAAATTAACTAAAGTCTAGCAAAACTTTGTCCAATAGCATACGGCCCTTGTTCTCGTTATTTATCTCTAATTTTAAAAAGTCGATGCGTTAGTTACTGTTAATTGGTATATGGGGTGGACCTCTGTTATATTAAGGGGCGGTTCAGTGCGCTCAATGTATAACTGGAGTATCATGTAAATCCAGTGAACTGATAGTGAGTGACCGTACATTTTATTATCGGCCCGCATTACACGCAAATAAAACGGAGAAAGGATATAGATTAAAGCAAGCTAGTGTACCACATAATATTTCATGTCCTCTCATAATATTTCATGCATTTAATAACGTCGTAATAATCCACTTATCACGTCTATCACGCCATATAACAAAAAATAAATCTTCAGGCTCAGGAACGGAACTCAATATGCACGCAGATACGGCTGAGCACCCAAATATACAGATTTATTAATAGATTATGCCACATAAAAAAATGCTGGCATGCAGATATTTCACAGCACACTCCCTATATCAGGGCTTTTCAGTGACTGGTTACATTATGAATAGATAGATAGAACCGGACTGACGTGAAGCAGACCGAGGTAGACTTTGAGCTTACAAATGGCGCTTGAGCAGCCGCTATTAGTCCGTACCTCATTAATGATCTGCCTCCAGACCTATGTGCCTAACCCACCCTGGCATGCAATATACTGTTATTCGGTCGAACGTTGTGCATGTATATTCAAACGGTGTGTAGTATAGAAAGGTGTGTATATTCAAAAGGTGTGTAAAATTGAGAAAGGTGTGTATATCCAAAAGGTGTGTAAAAGTGGGAAAGGTGTATAGGGTGGAAAGGTGTGTAATCAGGAAAGTTGTGTTTTTGCGTAAAATGTGTGTAAAATAACATACCTTTAATAAGTACAAGGTGTGTAATACAAAGGTGTGTAATTTTACACACCCAACGGTGTGTAATCGTACACACCTAAGGTGTGTAATTGTGTGTACAAATAATTACACATCTTGGCTTCCATATTACAAAAGATGTGTAATAATACACACCTTATTTCGAAAAGGCGTGTATTTATACACAATTTGGTGTGTAAGATGCAAAAGCATATTTTGAGTACTTCAAACACTCTGTTCTCTGTTTTACGATAAGTATGGTGGATTTTGGCAAAGTTTGAATTGACCTGACCTAACCCACCGTGTATAATCCGGTGACTAATAGTCGTAGTAGCTTCGGAAACGAAGCTGTGCGTACTCAGTGTGTACACGACGTGATACCTGCTGTTGTATATTGGCGAAAGCAAATTGGAATGTACCATTCTTAATAACCACAAAAAATTACAACTGAAATGAAGAATATAAATACGACTCCTGTGAGTTGGAAAATCACTAAGTTGCATTGCTGACCTGGACGAAAAGAGACAAGGACAGATTTTCATACCAGTATGGCAGGTATATAAATTCGACTTATTTTTAAATATTTTTCATGTATCTTGATTCTAATTTCATTCAATAAATTGACCATTCGTTCATTTATTCCATCAAACATATATATATATATATATATATATATATATATATATATATATATATATATATATATATATATATATATATATATATATATATATATATATATATATATATATATATATATATATATATATATATATATATATATATATATATTTTCAGTTGTGCGTATGAAAATTATTTCGTTAATTTTCATACGCTTCTCATACGTTTCTCTCAAGGCCCTGTCACACTATTTCGCATCGTACTAGCGTATGCCAGCGTATGAAAAATATCACTCATACGCGGTATACGCTGACATACGCTAGGGGTACGTTAGGCATATTAGGTTGTATACGTTTCAAGCACGGTCGCATACCGTGGCATACGCTGGCATACGGCGAGGCAGAAAATTGTTTCTTAAGCATGTTCAAAAATTTTGTGCGTATCGGACGTATGCTTTATACGATAAGCATACTCTAGGCACACGCTGGATACGCTAGATCTAGTGGTACCCCAGATGTACGGTACTCATACGCTGGCATTTCAAATGATTTTTGTGCGTATGAAAATTATTTAATCGATTTTTATACGCTTCTCATACGTTTCTCTCATACGCAATAGTGTGACAGGGCTTTCATGCGCAATAGTGTGACAGGGCCTTTATATATTGAGTAGTTTAAAACATTACATTAATATTTCATAAAAATTATGTCGGCAACCATTATATGCCACGTGAAGAAGCTTTATACCTGATAAAACTCATCTTCATTAGTGGTCGAATCTTGTATAGTCCCATTTTATCATATTGAAAATGGTTGTGCTACGCACTCGAATTTTAAATATGATAAAACACTCCTATACGCGTATTTTAAATAGTACATAATTTCATAATGTCGAAATGAGCCAGTTGTAAATTTGTGATTGCAATAAGTCGCTGCAACAATGCCATATTATAAAGCCGGCAAAGCATCGATTGAGAATGTCCGTTTTGCCTAACAAACATGACTCCGTATAGACAAAGCCCCACAAGCCAATGGGGTATGTCAAATACGTACATTACGCCATTTTGTGTGGAACAACAAAGTATATACTTGACTGTATTTCTGTTACCGGTTTCAAATGACAGATAAGGGAGTATGATGTAATGATAAATTTTCCTCGATCTTTGTGCTAAGGCAAGTGTACTATGGTCGAAGACCACTTAAATGGCTTGGCTTGGCCATGATGGAAATTCACCAGGAAATTATTCTGAACATAGGAACGTTATTGATAAATTTTGTGTTGGAAACACAAGGTTAAAGTTAATATCCAAAACGACCACTCTCGCCTCCAATAACAATAACTTCACTCTAAGACTTGTACACAACACTGACATGAGAAAAAACTTCCTGGGGTAACTTTATGAGAACTTCCTCCATTTTTCATCATCATCATCAACCAAACTTAGCATCCCAAGGGTATCACTACCTTCCCATAACCCCCCACCCCTCCCACAAACTTTTGGCTTTTGTATACAAAAGCTGATGATGCCATATATCGGCCATTGGTTTGAGATGGGTCCATTGCATCATGAATCAGTTAAATTTTTCATCAGACAAACTCCATGTTGATAGTATATGTATATATATATATATATATATACATATATATTGTGCTTTTGTGCTTAATAACTGTCGAAATACTATTTCTAGTTAAACGCTTTTAGGCTTACTTCAAAGCCTGTTCTTTTCTCTTTCAAACAAACTATTATCCTTGTCTCCAATGCTAGGAATAATTGCACAGGAAAAGATTTAGTA